GAACTCCTTGCCGGTTCTTCTTTAAATGATCGTTAAGCATAATCGCCTGCTTTGGTCGTTGATCCATTTCGATCCCTACTTACTTATTCCACTGCCCTTTGACCTTCTGGAACATCCTAGTTTAAGGTACTGATGCCTCCTTCAACATACTAACTTATTTCGTAATGACACTAATTTGACATGAAGAAAATTGATTCTGAAAAAATTCGGCCAGGAATTATGGATCAACCCAATATTCAACCTCGACCTCGAGAACTCCCTTAAAAGAAGTGTGCAATCAAATTTATGGTATTCCCGATTCTCGGCCAAATTGTTTCCCAAAAAAATGAAGAATTAGTTTTACTCACCGGCATGTCCAATGTAAAAGTTACGGAATAGATTACGTCTTCTATGACAATGAGCAAGAAAAAGTGCTTATATAAGCTGATCTTTCTTAGTGGACAGCGGACGTATACGACGAGAAGGATCAAATTGGTTATTAGAGAAATAGTAGAAATTACGAATACTGTGGCTGTGAGCAGATCGTTCGACATTGTGGACACTTCGACCAAAATGTAGAAGATGATAACAGTGAAACTGCCAGGAGGCGTCGACAGATGAACATGAATGCTATAGTTAAAATGCTGTCTCCGATAATACGAGGTTAGAATTGGATAGCGTGTTTTGCGTGGAAGTCATCGTCAGAGTGTTATTAAAAGAAGAAAATGAAGTCTTTTCACATAAAAATCATCTACTTCAAGGAGCATTAACTCTATGAAAAGTGGAGGGGAGCTTTTTGAGGTTTTCACGCTACGGATGTGTGTTGCATGTTGCGTGCACTAAAGAACTCCTGAGGTTTACATTTTTTTACCGGAAAGTGAATTTTATGAGTTTAAATTTTATAACGTATGAATTTAAAAAAAAGATCAACAGAAGAGTCCATCGGGCAAACTAAATCATTTCACTCCAACCACTTTACTTGTTTGTTCGAATACTTATTGTAGGGAGTTTGATTCAGCTTGCTCGCCCTATTTTTATATTGAAGGATATCCAACTCATTTCTCGCCTGATAATGCTTACAGAGTCCCACAAACCACACCAAACATTGTTTCCTTAGAGATCCTACAATATATAATTCGCGAAAACTGCTAAGGGGAGCTGGAACACAAGTATCATTAGATCATTAGATTAATAGTGCGTGTCCAATCAGGAGTGAGGCGTCGGCTACAGCATTACAGTGCGTTTCAAAAGTATGTGCACACCCTCAAAATTCACGTTTGAAAGGGAACCATGAGGTTTCGTGCTATGAAATCCTTCTCAATCGATTTCTCGTAGTCGATAACCTATCAATGGAAGCAAAGCAGATAATATCGCTTCACTTTCGAAAAAAAATTTTGGATGAAATTTTTTTCTTTGTTTCAAAAGTATGTGCACACTTAACAAAAGACAAAAACATAGCTGAGATTAGAAATCAGTGGGGCCTCCAGAGTTTCTAATTAGCTCAAACATCCTGTCCGGCATAATCTGAACCACGTTTGGCATAGCTGTTTCGTCGCTGTCGGCCCAAATAGCCTCTACCGCCGCCTTCAGTTCATCCGCGGTATTATACTGCCGGTTGCTAAAGTTAACGCCTTGATCAAGGGCTCCCTATAGGGTTGCAGTAAGGAGGACACACAAGCCAATCTATCGCTTCAGCACCATTTGGTTAAGGCCATTCTTTGGTAGATTGCGAAGCATCGAAAGACACGTGGTCCTGTTGCTAAAAATGCAATTTTCGTTTCATTAGCGTTCGCTTCGCTAAGAAAGGGCAACAGATGACATTGGAGCACTGCTTGGTTCTTTACAGTTCACACGCAATAATGGAACGGCAACTTTTGAATTTCCGCTGATTGGGAAACCGCCGCAGACCCATCAACGGGCCTCTTCCGAAATTTTCTTCGAGAGCACGAGCGACTCACGGGCCAAGCCTCTCCAGTAGCAAAATCCACCCGGCCCGTCAAGATCGAACTCTTTCCATGAGTTAAGATTACCTGAGGAGAGAAAGTCCATTAAAAGTTGCTTGTTTTGAAAATAGGAAATTCTCGAAAAAGCGTGTCTTCTCCCGGTGTCCTATCCTATCTTCGCCCGGTGTCCTATCCTATGTTGCCATGTCTGTACGAGCAGACTCCAATGTGGCTAACTTGTGCTGGGCCTTGAAGTGAGTAGCCTTTCTCAGCGTCTGTCGAGTGGTGTATTCATTTGAGCGGATGAGGGGCTTAGTGGTCATTTTCGAGGCTGGAATAAAAATCTGAGCTCGGACTGTCAATGAAGAATCCGACAGGATGTGGGCTACTCCTTTATTAAGGAGAACGACCAAGTTATCGTGCGATTTCTAGATTGGAACGTTCATTATCATGCAGAACCTTGATCTGAGCTTGCTCATCTTCAGGAAGAAGTATGGCGCGAATTGACATGATGACGAAATGAAAACAGCAAAGTCGGATTGAAATCGGTGGAAAATTCGGCGCCAAAATCTGATCTTCAAGTGCACATACTTTTGAAACAAAGAAAAAAATTTCATCCAAAAAATTTTTCCGAAAGTGAGGCGATATTATCTGCTTTGCTTCCATAGGTTATCGACTACGAGAAATCGATTGAGAAGGATTTCATAGCACGAAACCTCATGGTTCCCTTTCAAACGTGAATTTTGAGGGTGTGCACATACTTTTGAAACGCACTGTAGATGTAGAGTGAAGGAACATAGTAGGTGAGGGAGAGAAGTTGATGGCAGCTGATCAGGGCTGATAATACGCGGTAAGAACTAGAGGTGCGATTTGAAACAAGTACTAGATAACAACAACAAATTTGATTTCATTTTTATTACTGTGTCGTGAGTGTGCAGCTCTTGGGAATCCATCGAATCCGCTCTTTTTGCTTTTTGCGCTCACTCCGAACTTCCAGTGCTAATGGCTCCTCCACAATCAACTTCTTGCACTAAAAGTGTTATACATTCAATGGAGAAATAGAACGAATTCGATCACTTTGTTCTCATTATTATTTCGATCAAACACGTTTCCGCATTGTGATCTTCTCTTAAATCTTCAAGATAAAGAGAAACTATGTACGTAATAAGATCTGTCACTGAATGCCTGATCTTCTCATGGGTGAGGAAGGGTCACCTGCGTATTTCGGGAGATATTGTAACATGCAGTGCAGGTTGGGCCACTCCTATAAGATCACCTGTATCACCTGTCGTCCCGTTGATCATCGAATTGCTCGAGCGGGCGCCAGCAACGTCTCCATTCGTCCCTGTCGCGTGCAAGAGTTGTCCAGTGGACCCTCCTCGCTCGAGGGACACGATGTCCTCATTCCTTTCGTTCAGAGCTTTCGTGAAGAAGTCTGACCATCGGGCCGGCGGTCGTCCAGGTGTTCGTTTGACGTCCCGAGGGATCCAGTCGGTAACCGCTCTGGTCCAACGGTCATCGCAAAATCGCATGACGTGTCCGGCCCACCTTATCTTCGATTCCTTGGCGAAAACGGCAGCGTCCCTGATCTTCGATCGTTGGCGTAGTTCGGCACTCCGGATTCCCCTCTGCACTTGCGTGTATAGGGTTACTCCTAGCATCGTCCTCTCGACAGCGCGTTGGATAACGCTGACCGCATGCTCGTCCTGCCTGCGCAGAGTCCAAGTCTCTGAGGCGTAGGTTAGGGCAGGAAGGACAGCGGAATCGAAAGAGGGGTAATAACTTCGTATGAAGTTATTATACGAAGTTAGACTTTGGCAGTTTTCTCGCCTTGCGGTTTGCGGTGCGTTAAACAGACTTGCAGCAGCGTACAGCGAAGCGGCGGCGTGCACACAGCAAGCAATTCAAGCCAATCTTGGCGAATCCCATCAAGCTCGCGACTTTCTCCTTCTGTTTTTTTGCTCCGTTATTTATGCTGCTTTTATGCAGCAGGTATCAGCTGCTGTAGCTTGACTCTTGAGAAAAACCATATGTGCTGGAGCAATATGGCTAGCACATAACGGTGTACGTGCGATATAGTCTAAATTTATTAAATTCTACATGTTTTCGCAATCACACATTAATGAAGGCAAATGGAAAGGATGAAGAAAGTTGCCATAATTTTTTTGCTTGTTCATTCCTATTTGCCCGTGCTGCACGCTAAAAATGTTTATACTGTGACGAAAGCGAACCGCAACCCGTCAATCACAGTTACGAATCGCAAAGTACGGCCCTGAGTGGGCCAGTCAGCGAGTTATCGACGTAGTATGATGTTTTACAATGTACCGCACATCGATTATTAAAACGACAATGTGAATGGAGATAACATTTTTATTTGACTGCCTGAGCATTATGAGACATCTTCGAGCCTTTTTAAAAACGTAGATTTTCTGTACGCTCTAAAAACACAATGAATTCTTGTCACACAACTCAATGTTACATGAGAGGAGTAATATATCAGCTATTGCGAAAATGATAACAAGAGAAAGCATGTGCCATGACAGAGTACTGCGTGCATAAATGTTCGATTCGAAGAAGAAACGTAAGAAATCCACATGACAGAAATAACCGTCCACCAAAGGTCACAGATAGTCCTACACATGTATAAAGGACCTACGAGAAATGTCCGTAGTCCATTGTTGGCCAACAAATGAAAAACTTGCTGTATGTGAGGGTGAAATCTTCGGTTTTAGTTTACCAAGTATGAAGTTTCTATATTCTTTTACAAAAATGACAATAATTATCGGATTTATTGTCGGATACAAGGCAAATAGGACCGATATCGCGTTTGTGATATGCTGGGTGGAGTTCATACCAGTAAAAAGCATTGACATAGCAAAGCAGTACGGCGCAACCAAGAAAGCGAGAGGCACGGTCGCCTAAAAGAAGGAGCACTTGAAAAAATCATAATTTAACCCATGACAAAAAGGTTTACAAATGTACATTGGAATGTACCTCCTCTGTCTTTTTTCCCTTGTACTTCCTGGAAAAATAGTGGCTGCTGTTATTTGACACAGTGTCCATGAAAGGAGAGGAACTGTTTTCCTAAGAGCTTGTTATGTTCGCGGTTGGATGATTAACACTTCTCATCATGTCAGACTGAATCACTTTTCCCCTTCTGTGATACCGGCGTTGTTGTTTCTTTATGAGCTTGCTACTTTTTCAGCTTCCTTGGCCACTTGTGCTTACCATTTCATGTCATTTCCCCAGCTCCTGTGCTCTACAATGTTCTACCAAGAATTATGAGCACATGCACTGGTTTATCTTCTAAAAAGTCGTTGTGTGCCACGAAATTCATAACACATGTCACAGCAATTCGTGGAACATTGGTTTTTACATTTGGTGATCCAATGATCGGATGGTGATCGATGCTGATAACTGCTGATAAGAAGGATTGAAATTATTACCGCCTTACTGGTTGCGCCCTTTGCACTGACACTGGAAACTTGGTTCTAATGTACGATATGAAGGGCTAAACGGGAACGCAAGTGATGGGAGATCCGGAATGGTAACGACTCGGGGCGGCTTAACATTTCTTATCAGCCAAGAGCTGATAAGAACAGTCAAGACGTGATTACCACCGATTACGTTGCGTCCGTCACAATGACAATAGAACATTTATTATTTTTACACATGACCTAGGAAGCTGAACCGCGACACAGACGGTGAGCAATCAAAGGTGTTACTGACGGATGAGGACTGTTGAGAGGCAGTTGAATTTGGATTTTATCGAATTCGCTGCTCTCACAACGGTTCAGTGGAACATCTGTTTCAAAGAATATGTGGGTCGGACGGGGCCACGGATTGTACGAGTGAAAATGGTAACGACTGTTATGGGCTGATATGTGCCGCTAGAGTGAGTATTCTCGATAGGATGCATTGCTCATCCTCAGTGGCTAAGGTGGTAGTAGGTTGGTGATAGGTGACAGTGGGTCATAATGAGCGACAATGGTGTTGGATGTCAACGATCTGAACCCTGATGTTTAATATTTTAATGAATATTTTTTCCACTTGCCTTTTTGATTTCGCACAGATTTTCCATTTTTCTTATTCTAACTACC